TTTGAAACAGCTAAGCTTGATACCAAAATTGTTCCAGCTCTCTTAAATAAACATCATTGTTTTGTTGTTCACAACAACTGCCTCACATGTGCCTCTGTGGGTGAAGTTTTAAAAGCAGTTTCCTGCAACAACCAAGAGTCTATGGTGGCAGTGTATCATTTAAAGAACCATCTTTAAGTGTTACCTCAGAACACAAGCCCGAGGGCTAATCCAACACGTTCTTGCCTAAGATACCTCAAGTAAGCCAAGGGCTTGTCAGTGCTTTTAAGTTGGTGGCGGCCAGTGGGCTTTCATAAAGGGTTTTCAGCCAGAAGAAAGTTCTAGCTTTCCTTACAGCTTTTGTTTTGGGGTTTTTAATCACAGAAGCCTCATTCCAATCTAAATGATGTTCTGCTTTTGGGATTTTTTATTCTCAAATAAATCCCTATCTTTTATAACAATGCTCCTCATTTGTATTGCTACAAGGAAGCTGGAGACACTTTGCTGACATTCTGAACTGCATCATGCTTCGGAGCTACATGTTTTGCAGACTGAACAAAAACGGCCAGAACAGATGTTCTCAGATGCCACCTCTTTGAATCAATCATTCTGGATAGCTCAAGCAAGGGCTTCAAGAGAGGTCAAGTGAAGTACAGACCACTCATTACTGTGTTGATTTTGTTCTGCAAGCTGAGACAGCACAGGATCAGTAACATACTCCAAGGAGGCCAATGTTAACCTATGCCCCCAAGCATTTTGGTGTCAGGTCATGATGTGAGTTAACTCAATTCAAAGGCATTTGTTATGCTTTACAATGAAATGCTACTGCTTTAACCCTTGTTGCACCTGACAATGGGAAGATGCAAAAGGAATTTTGATTCTGGCTCAGAAACACACATGAAGCAATACATGCTGAACTTAACTGATGACAAAGATTGAGTGGACTACTGATGTTCAACCTAAGGCCAAGTTACTAGAGTGGCCTTAGGAGTTGCACAGGTGGAACTCTACTTTACTCACCAGCACAGGATTTGAGTGGTGAGATGATAGCTCTTCTCATATCTATTCAGTAACTGTTGGAGAGCAGGATGGAGCTGGAGAAGCACATGGCTAAGCTCCACAGCTAGAGATTGACCAAGGATACCTTTCACTGAGACTTTGGTGGCTGGTTTGTATTGGTCTGCATCTCGCTAATGGACATAGCCAGATGTACACAAATGGCAACACCCATAAAGACCCTGGCATGGGACATAGCCACTCTTCTGATCTCTCACAAGTTCTATCAGCATGGAAAGGCTGTATGCATTGAAATAATTGGTATAAACTGACAAATCATAGAATCAAAGAGTTGGAAGAGACCTCATGGCCCTACCAAGAAGCAGGAATATTGCATTCAAATCACCACTGACAGATGGCCATCCAGCCTCTGTTTAAAAGCTTCCAAAGAAGGAGCCTCCACCACACTCCGGGGCAGAGAGTTCCACTGCTGAACGGCTCTCACAGTCAGGAAGTATGCAGTATAATAATGAGTCGAGGGGTTAGATGCTTTGCTTATTGCAGTGGGTGGAAGACTATATCAGCCTTGGAAATGTCAAAAAAAGAAGAAGATATATTAGCAAATGTAAAGTGAAGCTACCATTGGGTATGTCACTAACAGGATGCCAGCCTTGGAATCATTGAATCAAAGGCTGAATTTTCAGTGCTGTATAATCTAATTTCAGAATATGGATTAACTGTATTGATCTGGATTATAAGGCAGTGTAAAATGATATAATCCAGTTCAATGCAGTTAATCCACATTGTGAAATTATAGGGCAGTGGGGATCTAGCTATAGTGTTGGAAGAGACCACAAGGGCCATCCAGTTCAATCTCCTGCTATGCAGAAAAAAGTCTGTTCCCACTACGTTTTGAACTGAGAAGCTTTTACATGTTACGAGAATGTGATTTTTCTTTTCTGTGTCAGGAGTGACACAGAAATAACCACAACACTATGGGCTCCCACATAGTTGTGAATGAAACATGCTTTTTAACATTGAGTTAAATTTGATTGAAAAATGAGCACTGCATATTTTTCAATGTTCCCCCAAACTTCAAAATTTCCATTTTCCTGAGAATTTATTTCTCTCTCCATGATTACAAATTTCCAGAAATGTCACATCTCTAGGCACAACTTTCACTGAATCTCTACCACTATTCTAGCTAATTGGCCTTAAGAGGCTTTATGTTTCACTCATGGGGCAACCCTGAACACTCCGCTGTTGAGTTTTCAAGATGCCAAGTGTCTGATGATAAGTTGCCTGGTATTACAAATTCTTCTATGCAATACTCTGAATCTGCTGCTTTTCAAAACACTTAAGCTGCCTGCTTAGTTTCAAGCAACTGAGCAGATTGACTAACATTTGTATTAAAGGACCAGTGAAAAGATTAAGGAGATCCTTAATCTTACAACTAGACCAAGGAGTAGCCAGGGAAAAGGAGACAGAGAAAAATCAAGGACTCTGATAATAGTGAAGGATCAATTCAGGTCTCATTTAATGAGACCAGGGAGTACAGAAAATTTAGAAACAATGTAAATAAGCCTCTTGGGTGATATAAACAGCTGTCTGGTTTGGTAGATTGCAGATTTCTCATCCTCATTTCAAAACTCAATTTCTTTAACTTGTTGACTTTTCCTCCTCCACACACCCTGGAAAAATGTAAACAGTGTTGTTTTCTTATTTGAAAACAAGGCTCTTGTAACAAATAAAGTAAATGAAATCTTATCTTGTTTGGAAGCCCGATTTAGCATTTTACTACTTGTTCCCAGGCTCATTTAAAATTCTTTTAGGCACGCTTAGTGTCAGCTGTATCTTGCAGAAATTCAGCATGTCTGAAATCCAGAAGTCATGCAGATACCGGCCTTTCATTCAGCTAATTGACTAATATTAGTGAGTAGCTTGGAAGCACTTGAATTGAAGCCCACATCAACCCAGCATACACTGAAAATGTATGACTCTGCAGACTACTATCATCCCTCAACATTTCTTATTTATTTGTTTGAATTTGACTGCAGCAGATAGAATTTACAGTTCAACAATATCTAGAGGGCCATCTTTTCCCCATTCCAGTAGCAAATTTTTAACCTTGAATGGTCCAAAAAAGAGAAAACACATGGAAAAGAGTTATGGTACAGTTCCCTCTTATTTATTTATTTATATTTATTTCGGGTTCTTTTAGCCCACCCTTCTCACCCCGAAGGGGACTCAGGGCGGCTTACAAAAGCAAAGGCACAATTTGATGCCTGCATCACAGAACAATCAAAACACAAAATTACATCAAATTCAAGTTAACAACAATTCATGCATTATACCAATAAAATCAATAAAACCAATACAAACCTCCTCCTCCTACATGGTCAGCGTTCGCTATCTCATAGTTTTAATTTTCAATTCCACTTCGTCAATCCTGATGGTCTTACTCGTCTGATTGTCTTATTTAATTGCCAGCTTGCCCAAAGGCCTGGTCCCATAACCACGTCTTCACCCTCCTCCTGAAGGAGAGGAGGGATGATGATGTCCTGATTTCCCCCGGGAGTGAGTTCCACAGGTGAGGGGCCACCACTGAGAAAGCCCTGCTCCTCGTCCCCACCAGCCTCACTTGTGACAGTGGTGGGGTCGAGAGCAGGGCCTCCCCAGATGTTCTCAAACTCCGGGGTGGGACGTAGAGGGAGATACGTTCGGACAGATACACTGGACCGGAACCGTACAGGGTTTTGTAGGTCAAAACCAGCACCTTGAATTGTGCTCGGAACTTATGTGGCTGTTGCCCCTACCAGACACTTGATACCAGTGTGAAAATAGTATACAGAAGCAAATAAATTCTTGGAGTGCATCTACATTGTAAAATGAATTCAGTTTGACACTATTTTAATGCAATGCCATCATGAGAGCTGTGGTCTTACAAGGCCTTTAGCTTTTTCTGCCAAAGGATGCTGGTGCCTCACCAAACTACAAATTCCAAAACTCCATATCATTGAACCATGGTGTGTAAAAGTGCATTCATTCTACAGTGTAGCTGGACCATGGTTTTACACTGCTCTGGGTTGTATAGGAGGTATCCAGGCACTGGGCCCTCTCCCAAAAAGAGTTCATCACGAGAAGGACTCCCATAAAACCCAGCTGAAGAAGAATCAGCCAGAAAACTTGAGAAGATTCACCATTCCCCACAATAGTGGATCACAGAGCAACCCTAAATCTATGTGATCTAGTTTAAATTACTTCAGGAAAAGTTGAGGAAGTACTATCACTGCTAAGGCCCCCACACTAATGTGCAATGTTAGTAATGTCAAAGCTTGCCACAATCTTGTATACAGCACAGGGAAAGCTTCTGTTTGAAGGATTTTCCAGGACAGTTAGAGAACCAAAAGAAGAGAAGAAACTTTCAGCTTGGTCATGTGCAGTTATTATCAGGGTCCTTTTACAATAAACAGTTATGGCACTATGATTGTACTTTAATGACCATGTTTTCATCCTACGGCATTAAGAAAATTGCATTTTAGGGAGAGAGAATTTAGAATTCTAGTCAAAGAGCTCTAATACCATTGTTTTGTTATCATTTGCCATCAAGATGACTTTGAGTTACAGTGACTCTATGAATGGAAGACTTCCAAAGTCCTGCATCATCAACTGCCCTGCTCGGGTATTGCAAACTTGGGTTTCTGGCTCCTTTGATTGAGTCTATCCACCTTTAATATAGTCTTTCTTTCTTCCTCCCACTTTATCAAGCGCTCGCATCTTTTCCAAAAAGCCACATTATTATATATCCAAAATATGACAAACTCAAGTTTAGTCATCTTTGCTTCAGGTTTGGTTTGTTCTAAGTGGTTTGTGTTATCAATTGAATTCTCCTCCAGAACCACATTTCAAAGTTCTCCAACCATCTGCACCCACCTAATGTGCCCCAGAGAGTCTTGACAGCCGCCTCCCTTTTGTTACAAAAGTATAGATGCATAATAATGCACTGTATTTAGTAATCATTGACACTAATGAATACTCACATTTAAGTGTCCAAACTGGAATAGTCTTCTTGTGAGCTTGAGCACTGTTGCCAAAGATCCACAGAACATGGTGAAGCTTGAACAAAAGTCTACGATTTGCAGTGCCAGATGGTACCATTCATAATGCAATGGGTCTTTGCACATAGCAGCAAATTTGCCATAAGGAAAAGGGAAAAGGATGGCATAGCCCATGTAATTTGTACCTGAAATCCCAGCAAAAGAGTAATAGCAATAAGGGCCAAGGAGAAGAGAGGCAATAGCAATGCTACCTTGGACCGGAGAAGTGATGATATTTAAGAGGCAAAAGGTGAAGCTGGCTTCCCACTGGAATTGAAACAGAAATCTATTATCAGTTTTGGCAGCTGTACAAAAACAGCAGGCACTTACTTTTTACTTACTTCCACCTTCAGATTTTTCTTAAAATTCAAGTTTGTGAATTGTGAAAATGTGGATAAAAATGAAGATGCTGCTGCTGACTCAGTTACCAGTCATTTATAATGTAATATAATATAATATAATATAATATAATATAATATAATATAATAATATAATATAATATAATGTATATATATATAATATTGATAATATTATAATGTAATACAATATACTACTACTAATAATATATTATAATTACATATTTAATATTACATGTAATATTACTAATAATATTACAGTATAATGTTATAGTACAATATAGTCATATATAATATTGATATTGTGCTATAGTAATAATATAATATATTGTATTTTTATATTACTGTAAGCCGCTCTGAGTCCCCTTCGGGGTGAGAAAGGTGGCATATAAATGTCACAAACAAACAAACAAATAAATAAATAAATAAATGTTCATATGTTGGTAAATTTTCCATGAATGATGGAAAGATAATTCTCCCACATGTGCACTGGCTAAATGGAGATATTAATCACACGATAGGTTCAGCATGTGATATCCTTTATTCTGCACTAACATTACTGAAAGAGAGAGGGAAAGAGGACTGAGTAATGAACTTGGTGTCTTGGTGACCAGTTTCTACTCAGCCATGGAAACCCACCAGGTGACGTTTGGCAACTTGTGAACTCAGCCTAAGGGAAAGGTAATGGCAATGCCATTTGAATACATCTTGTCAAGAAAACTACAAGATAGGATCCGTCAACTTGAAGGCACCCAAAGCAAAAACAGCAAAGGTTAAGCAAAATACAGCCTCTTATTACATGAACTTGTTGAACAGTTTCATTTATATGTGGAAATTTGTATATTATAGAACCACTCTAAAGAACCTAACAGTGCCTAGAGAAGTGTTCTCACTGTGCCTATCATGTGATTCTGTGACCAATATTCAAGGGAAATTTCACTGGAAGTTGGAAAATTCACACGGGAGGCAAAGAGATTTTCTAAGTCCTCTACAGTGATTCTATGGTATGATTCAGCCAGAGGTTGAAGACATATTTCATTTCAGGTAAGAAAATTGAGGTTCCACATTACATGAATGTCATATTACACAAAGGAAAGTAGGCCTACTGTACACAGAATTTAAAACAAGACCAAGGAGTTAAGCTCTCAGGGCCTGAGGCCTGAATGGAATAATTCCTTTGTTTATAATTTTTTCACAAATTCATTTAGAAAAAAAACTCTCAAAGTCTTCCCATCTTGAATATGAAGAAATCTGCAAAATTTGGCAATGCCTAATTCTTAAAAATTGACTTGAATTTTTGTGAGGAAGGCTGGATAAAAATGAAGATGTTGCTGTTGGCTCAGTTATCAGTCAGTTATCTTTTTGGGCTAAGATAATTGAATCCTGTTCTGCCACCTTTAAGAGTGATGATTGAGTAGATTTTCCCATACTGCATTCTTTGCATACTATACTTAAATGTGCCCAGGACTCACTCAGCACAATAAACTGGGCAGGTCTTCCTGAGATTGGCGATAACTACAGTGCTGCTTTTAATGGTATAGTTGTTTCCTCAGTCATTCTAATTTTCAAATGTTGCCTAATAGATAAAACTAACCCATTTCTTTTCTGCTATATTGCCCTATAAATATTATAATCCCCAGATCTCCTTTTAGGAAAAAGCATGGCTGCTGTTGGTCTTTAGAAACCTCCCACCCACATCCATAAATCAGAAACATCCTTAGTTTTAGGGAATATGTTCTCAGTGAAGTACAACTTCAGTACAAATATGAAACCCAGACAATTTAGTTTGGGTACATCATTCCAGCCCTGGCAAATGAAAAATACTGGGGGGAAATCTGCACATTTAATTTTCCTCCTCATTATCAATTGAGCTCCTCAACATGAACACTCACAGTCATGAAGTGGTTCTATCTCTTGTGGTATACATAGGATATAGAACCACTTTTAGAATGACAATCAGTTCTACATAGATTGATTTAATATGTCCTTTATAGCAGTGGTTCCCAACCTATTTTTGACCAGGGACCACCCTTCAACATTAGTACCAAAAGGGTTACGAATCGGTTTTTGGTCAACTTTAGATTTGGTTTGGTTATTTGGGGTGCTGATTCAGAAAATTGTATGGGATAGACCACATCAGCTCTAGTTTCTTATACAGAACATATCCCATCCAGTCGTCATCATCTACTCGCCCACAGAAAACCACATTTAATAAGTCTTGGCACTATAAGAGGGTTTCGCAAGGCCAGTCACTCTTATTGCAAAGATGTAGTAACTGTGAGGCTGCAGACCATATTTTAGTTCTTGAAGACCACTGGTGGCCCACAGACCACAGGTTGGGAACCACTGCTCTATAGAAATATCTAGGTCCTTCATTGAAACTGTATGGTGAACGTTTTGTGGAACCTAAACAGAGTTCCACCAGAAATTGACCAAAAATTTACACTGGAGGATTTAAAGATTTTTATAGAGAGCACTTTTATATTTGTAAGTGTGATTTTGCCTTTTGCATGAACAGAATAAGAGACTGATATAAATTGTCTGTGTTGTGGGGAAAAACCTCTTTGTTTTTCAAGCATTCAAAGTTCTTTCAAAAGTTTAATTTGTTTGTCAGAAAAGATCTAAATGTGCAAAAATCCCACGAGGCTCATTTTGTGAGGATGGCATTATTATTTTTGCATTTTCCATGTATAAAATAAGCAGAAATATTGACTTCTTGAAAATTCCACTGGTTTTGATGGCTTTTATTGGTTCTTATAGCATTCCCTTCTTTCAAGTAAGGAAATATCTTTGGATATTGCTTGGTCTTGTAAATCTGGTAGAATGTTTTACATTGTGCCTGCTATGAGTCCTGTATTCTTTATCTGATCCCCAGATTTGGACAGAGGGAAATACTTATTCTTCTTCTTGACTCTATGCCTGGATTAAGTTTGCCTGTCTACTGCCTAGAATCTGACACTGTATAGAATAACCAAATAAATTTACCAGGTATCTCTGAGTCCACTGTTTTTCAGCCAGAATAACAAGTACACCTGCAATAACAGCCTGGAAACAGAGAGTAAAGCATATGGTTACACATCATAAAGCAAACAATGTTAATAGTCCTTTGTTCTTACTAAAGCTTTTTTTTTCTTGCAAGCAATACTTTAAAAAAATCACAACACAAAGAAACAAATTCACTATCACCAGAAGAACTCTGTATGTAATGCAAATACAGATTCCAGAGAAAATGTCTACATTATTAGAACTTTTTAAAAAATCTATCATTTATTCATTTCATAGTGAGGTCAAACAGGTCCTGGTCAGTTTTAAAATAATAATGAGTTCTATTGCTTCTCATTTTATACATATGAATTTGATTGTTCATAGTAAAACGTGTGTGTTGTGTGCCTTCAAATAGTTTCTGACTTATGGAGACCCTAAGGACCTCATCACATTGAGGTCCAAAATGTGGGCAACAGTGGGGAAATTCTGCATCACCCGCATTGCTGATTTCCCCATCACATGCGGGAAAGTACCACCATCTGGCTTCCCCCCATGCTGGTCTCATTCTAAGCAATGAGAACACAGGAAGCCTCCCCTTTTCTCTGGGCTCCATCCTGGGATACTTCCAGGACAGAGCCATGACTGAGCCCAACAGAAGCAGCCCTGAAGCATTTTGCATCCTGGTTCCATCCTGGAAGCATTCTAGGATGGAGAAAGAAGGTAATGTAATGAGGTCCTCAGATGAATCTCTCATGGTGTTCCTTGGCCAGATTTCTTCAGAAGACACTTGCCATTGCCTTCCTCTGAGGGCACCTCTACATTAACCACTTAAGTCAGTTTCAAACCAGTATTGAAGAAAGTGTTTTTCCTTGCAAATGATTACATACGGAATCCTAGAGTAAGTTTGAGGCCCATATGATATTACACAAACTACAGATCACTGATGCACATTAAGGGAAGGGCTTTCTTTTGTGTGCTTTTGTGGGAGTTTGTTGTCTATCCACCCAGTTTTCAAACTGCATTAAATGGCCAGTGTTGGTGGAGCTTGAGAGAATGTCACTTGACTAAATCACCCAGTGGAGTTTCTTCACTGAGCAGGGATTTGAATCCTGGCCCCTGTGCTCCCAGTCCAACACTCAAAACCACAATACAATGCTGGCTCCTAGTACATGGTTACATAAGTAAAGGATTCCATATTTCATTTATTGGTCACATTCATATATCACTCTCCTCAACGAGCTCAAGTCCAGGTCTTTGGCTCACATCTTTTTTCTTCTTTGGGTGAATCTACACTGCCTGCTAAAGCTAGGACCATTCCAGAGCATTATATTCTGGGCTGCCCATGGAAGTGGCTAGATACACCTGACTGAATTCACTGAACCCCCATGTCGGCTATGTATGCTACCTTTGAAGTATCTTGAGGAACTGCAGTTGGTCTGGGTGGTCACATTTCCCCTATCCCCCATAGTCCTGCAGTGGTTACCAGTTCATTTTTAGGTATAATTTGAAATGCTCATGTTAGGCAAATTTTATCAAATGTATTTGTTTTACCACTTGCACCTGTCTGTTTTTATTGTCATCACTATTGACTTTCTGATATTTTATTGTGTTGTATGGTTGATTACTGTAAGTCACCCTGAGTGGTGTATGTATGCCACAAAGACAGGATGTAGGTGAGAGAGAAGGATTAAATACAGAATGCTGAACATTTTTTATATTACTACTATAACTAAGCTGCTAAGACCTGGGGCTGAGCTGTCACCACCAGTTGAAATCTTGCTACAGTGCTGTATTTACTAAGAATAGTAGAAGTCCCATGTTGGATCAGACCAAAGACCTTTCTGGTCTGATATTCTGTTCACACAGGGACAAATCAGCACATTCAACCCCAGTCTTATGATCCAGGAACAAAATGGGGCATTGAGATAAGCAAACAATCTAGATTGTTAAGATCGTCTGGAGGGGCCCTGCTCTCATTCCCACCGGCCTCACAAGTGCGTCTGGTGGGGATGAGGGACAGAGCCTTCTTGATGGTAGCCCCTTGGCTCTGGAACTCTCTCCCACTGGAGATCAGAACTGCCCCCTCTACCTTGACGTTCAGGAAACAGGTGAAAACTTGGCTGTGGAAATTGGCATTCGACGAGTGAGTCAATATTCTGTGATATGGATGGATGATGATGAATGATGAACAACAATTTTATTGTGACGACTGACCATTGTAATTATTTGACTGCATTGCTATTTTAATATTTTAGCTTAATATGTAATATGATGTTTTTGATGACTGTTTGTGATATTACTGTTGGAAACTGGCCCGAGTCCCTCGACAGAGGTGAGAAGACCGGTATACAAAACTGCTAAACAAACAAACAAATAAATAAAGCCCTGAACTTCTTTTCACAACTTTAGTGAAAGAAGGTAAGAGTTGAAACTCCACCTACTCCTGTAGATCCTGAACTCCATCCATTCAGAAAAATTGGGAAATAGAGCTTATGTGTGCCCCTTTTTAATTTAAATGGAGATAGAGTATTAAAAAAGACCATATAGAAGCAAGAAATAAAACAGAGTCAAGTTCTGAGTGCTAATTGATAGTCAACTGTTTGTTCCTTTAAAAAGTCCAATGCAGACAGAACTTTGTCAGGGACTAAAAAGTTAACATAACTACAAATATATGACTGTATAAGCATTTTTAAAAAGAGACAGGATGGCATTAAGTTAACCATAACTTATAAAACCATTGAATATTACATTATTTATCATATTAAAAGCAGGCAGACAATTCAACATAAATCTCTGGAATTGTAGGCATGGCAATGCTCTCCAACTGTTTGGCCCATTAAGTATTAATGTAACAGAATATACACTGTTTTGTTATTGATATATGTTGTGGAGTTTCCTTATAAAGGAAAAACAGTACTGTCCTATTATGTGGGTGGAGGCAACAAGGAGGCACTAGGGAGAGGATAGTCTATTTTATTGGCGGGGGGGGGGGGGGGGGGGGGGGGGGGGAGTTGAAAGAGGAAAACTATTTCCCCATTTTTCACTGGTTATTCTCCCTCCCCACTTCCCATATCATAAACAAGGCCTATTTCCACGATGGCAAGATGGGTGGGTGGAATAACAGGAAAATTGGGGGAAATGGTTTTACTACTTCAACCCACCTTCTACCCCCATAAATTGAACTATCCTCTCTCTAGCTCCGCCTTGTAGTTTCTGCCCGAATAATGGATTAGTACCAATAGAACAAATAACATGTGCTGAAAGTCATCACAAGAACATAGGACGCAATCTATCTGAGCAATCTATCTGAGCAATTGTTGCTCGATTTGTTGTGGTTAAACCCTTGTGCTGGCAGGAATGAAGACTGACAGGTCCCAGGTACGAATCCGGGGAGAGCGTGGGTGAGCTCCTTCTGTCAGCTCCAGCTCCCCTTGCGGGGACATGAGAGAAGCCTCTCACAAGGATGGTAAAACATCAAAAACATCCAGGCAGCCCCTGGGCAACATTCTTGCAGATGGCCAATTCTCTTACACCAGAAGCAACTTGCAGTTTCTCAAGTCGCTCCTGAGATTAAAAAAAATGTTATGTTAACCCTGACTGTTTAAGTTACTTGGTTTTTATTGATTTTATTTTTGTGTATGTTTATGTATTTTACTCTGTTTTATGTGCCTTGTAAGCCACCCCGAGTCCTCTTGAGGAGATGGGGCAGGATACAAATAAATGTATTATTGTTTATTATTATTATATAAAGGAAAGTAGTTGTGGATATTCATTCAATGGCACCAGGGACTTCAAATTTAGAATCCAGTGTGCTATTTCTTTAAAATGGTTGGGAAGCATTTATGCCTGTCTTTGGAACTACAGGCAAATCTGGAATAAGACTGAACACTCTGGAGTCAAGGTAGACTTCCAAGCCTCCATGCTCCCAGCATAGATATCCCTAAAGTTTGGAATTTTAACTTTTTATGACTTCAGGATATTTGTTTGCCACACAAATCCTCTGAGCTTTATAAGTGTATACAGCTTTTTCCTTTTGAACCTTTGCCTGGGTTCCCTCATGCTTGTTCTAAGTCTTTTTTACATTCATTTGCAGCTAGAACAAAATAGAGGTCCGAACAGATTTCTTAGGAGACTAAGCCTGAAATTATAATCTTGGCACCACTGYACCATAAAAAAAGTTCCCATGAATAAAAGCAGAAACATCTGGAGTCACGAGTGACTGTTGGCAAAATTTATCAAGGGGGGGGGGGGGCGAGTTTGCAAAGGATCCRGGAGAGTCTCTAGCCAGAACAAATAATACAAAAAAAATAAGAACATTGTGATGAGCTTTTGTAGCATGTAAAGAGAGCCAAACCCCTTTTGCTGTCTGCTTTTCCAAACCGAGACTCCCTCAATTTTCACATGTGGTGGAGAGAACAAAGAGAAACAGAGCAGAGAGGGATTATTTCATTCCTCCAGGGTCTGCTCCAGCCAGATAAACTATTGGATGATCACTTTCCACTTCACTTTAAAGAATCTGGCAAGGAATCTTTGTTTCTATCCCAAAACTTTGCAAAACTGCAGTTTTGCAGAAGTTTGATTGTCACTCTTGCTCTTTTTTCCCAGTCCTGCCATTTTCTTTTCATCTCTACACATTATACTTTTGAAATATTATGAGCTACAGCCCAGCAGGCAATGCTTTGGAGGCATAGCTCAAAACAGCATGTAATATGCAGGCTAATTCTAATCTCCGTCATAAACATACCAGCCTTTTTACTTCATTTTTATACTTTTCGTCCTCCTCCTACTCCTCTCATACATCTGGATCATTTACCGTCCATTTCCTAAGCTTTTCTTCCCCTCCACTGCTGCCAAGGAATGAGAAGCCCTCTCAGTTTTTATCATTCTCACATTCAATTTTTCAAGCATCAGATGCTTTCTGTACTCTATATGTTTAAAGAATGGTGGGATTTATATATAGGAAAATAGTAGAAAAACAATACAGTTTGAACCAGATACTGATTGAGGTATGGAAAGAGGAATTAAACAGTAATGAGAAGGACATTTGACACTGGATAAAT